GGGGGGGGGCTGGAAGGGAAGGTTCTGAACACAGTAGAATCAGAAAAGTCCCTCCATGCCTTGGGCTTGGGGTATTGGGGTCAGGCAGGGGCGGCAGGCACAAGGCAGATGCTGGACCCTGATGGGGGTGGGGAGGGGAACCCTGGCCCCCGGGGAGGCTAATCTGGTCCCAGCAGGGAGCCCAGGCCCTGGCAGCCCCTGATAAAGCCATGGGCCACCTGGCTTGCAGAGATAGTTTGGGTGCAAGAGAGAGGGGTGTGGAGAGGTGCCAGTGGGCTGTGGTAAGACCTGGGTTTGAGTTGTGACTGCCATGGCTGGGTGCCTCTGGCAGTGGCTGCCCCTCTGGGGGCCTCTGTTTCCTCATCTGTAAGATCCAGTGATGAGAATAGGGCACAGTGCCCACCCTTTGGTTCACCCAGCCTGATGGAGGAGCCACAGTAAACACAAAGCAGTCACAAACACAGAGATCAGAGCCATAAAGACACAATGCCAGAGAGTGGCTAAGGGACTCTGGGGAGGCGACATTTGGGCATGGGGGTCAGGTGGGAAAGGATCTGGGGAAGGGCGTTCCTAGCAGCAGAACAGCCAGTGCAAAGGCCAAGAGGCAAGACCTGAACTTGGTATGTTTGGGTAACAACCAGTAGGTGACAGGGGCGGGAGGAGGGGGGAGGCTGGGGCAGCCCCCAGGGCCGAAAAGGTGCCAGGTGGGGGAGGCCTGAGACCACAAGGCACAGCCCCCGGGCTGCCTCCACACATCCAGCCACACCCGCCCCGCCCGCCTGTGACTCACCCGCGCCGACCCTACAAAAACACGGCCCTCCCCGCGCTGGGGGGTGGCAAAATCAGCGGCGCGGGCACTCCGGAGGCACGTCCCCAGCTGCCCGGCGGCGTCACGGGGTTGGCCGCGGAGGACCAGGAAGTCATCCCGGGCCCGCGGCGCCTGCCCGAGTTTGCAGAGGGAGAGAAAGTGCGGGGGCGCCCGGGGTGGCGAGGGCCAGCTCTGAGGCCCGGGAGACCCGCGGTGCCCCCCGCTAGGTGCACCCAGGCCGCACCATGCCCCTGGGGGGCGTGCGCAGCTTCCAACTGGAGCTGGCGCGGGGTGGCGCGTACCACGGCGGGGAGCGGCTGCGTGGCCGGG